GGGTCTGGAGCTCAGAGTCTGAGACTCCCTCCTGATTGAAAACGACAACCGCGCCCTCAGCCACCAGCCCGCTTTGCGCGCGCACCTCGGTACCTTTAAATTTTCCACACTGCGCCTCCTCTGAGCCTCGGTGTGCTGATGTCTTTCCTTCTAGTTGAAGAGTCTCTCCTCAGCCAGCCTTCCTGTGGTTCTGGGTGATGTCCGTTCCGTCTTTTAGTTGTATTTTTGAAGTGGTTGTTCGCGGCAGCAGTCTCCGGTGTTTACCTATGCCGCCATCTTGGTGGAGCCCCTCCTTGAGTTTTTCAATTATGTGATAAATTAAAGAAGCTAAATAGCCCAGCCAGTGTGACTCAGTTGGTTGAGCTTTGGTTCATGCACCAGGAGGTCACTGGTCAACTCCAGTCAGGGTGCATGCCTGGGTTGTGGGCTTGATCCCCAGGGCAAGCTGCAAGCAGCTGATCTCATTGATGTTTCTATATCCCCCCCCCCTCTTCCTTCCTCTCTTTGAAATCAATAAAAACATATCTAGAAAAAAAAAGCTAAATAGACATAACCAAATGTGGTGCATGGACCTAGACTGCCTTTGAGTTAAAAGAAGAAAAAAGGTTCAAAAGACATTTGCCCAACAATTGGGGATGTTTCAATAAGAATAGATATTCAAGCCTGGTGGTGTGGCTCAATGTTTGAGCATCAACCTATGAACCAGGAAATCAATGTTTGATCAGATCAGGGTACATGCCCAGGGTTTTGGGCTCAATCCCCACTAGGGATCACTGATGTTTCTCTCCCTTTCTGAAATCAATAAAAATATATGAAAAAGGAATAGTTACTCAATATTATGCAAATGTTAACTTTTTGTTATTTTAATTTGATGGTTATAATTTTGCCTTCTCTTGCCATTTTATATTTTGCAATGCTTATTTTTAAAAATGTTTTTATTGATTTCAGAGAAAGGATGGGAGAGGGAAAGAGATAGAAACATCAATGATGAGAGAGAATCATCAATCGGCTGCCTCCTTCACACCTCCACTTGGGATTGAGCCCGCAACCCAGGCATGTGTCATGACTGGGAATCCTCCTGGTTCATGGGTTGATGTTAAACCACTAAGCCACACTGGCCGGGCTGCAATGCTTATTGAAAATGGTTTCTATTACCAAGGGCAGAACACTAATTGTCAAGTGTTAACCTTAAAAATAAAACAGCTAGTTATTTTGTTATATTGAAATTCAGCGAGACGCCACAGCCAGAGGGTCGAATTTTGGAGCTTTTTATTTCAAAGCTGATGTGCCGGAACCACAAAGGGCTTTTTGCCATTCCAAACCTCGCGGTCCTGAAATGAAATTAGGGGTACGCTTATAAAGGCAAAAAGAGGAAAAAAAAAAACAACAACTCTAGGATTGGTGCCATGAGATTCTATTTCAAGGCCTGGCCTGGCGCCAGCCCTGACAACTCCATCTGAGAGTATTTTAGTTTATGGCCTTTTCAATATGGTTAAGCAAACAGGTCCTGCAAGATAGAAGATTTAAGAGGGAACAGTGATTAGACTATAAACTGATAAGAACGTACACCAGATTCCTGTCACAGGCTCAGATTTCCCCTTTTATTTTCCCATTATTCAAGCAAGCATATTTACAGAAGCTAGAAATAGCATAGTTACTTATCTGGTTTAGTTATATCCTGGATTTAATGGACCATTAAATGGACCATCTGTGCCTGAAAGGCTGTTCTAACAAAATTTATGGGAATAAAATGGAATGCCTATGGTTCAGATAGAGGGCAAGAGGACGGAACAGAGTCAGTTCTTTCAAGGTCCATTCTTCAATTTTACTGTAAAAATAGGTTTGGGAATAGCAGAGAATTTAAACAGGGGACAAGCAAACTATTGCAAAACCATAGGCGAGTCCAGCAAGCAAAAGAGAGGAATGCTACTCTATAGAGAAAAAGGAGGAAGTGGGGAGGGGTTGTTTTGAAAGAAAGTCCATTGGAAGAAAGCAAGAGTTAAGGGTGGTGATGCTTTCTCATCGGCTGAGATGCTGGGCAAGGGAGGAAATCTTCCTTTCTCTTGCTGGAGGAGTAAAACAGTATATACTGTTGTAGAAGACCAAAGAAATACCAAGCACGCTTCCTAGAGAAAGGGAGGGACCCCATTTATTAACACTAGTGGACTCCAGGAATAATTTCTTAAACAGAGTGAAGAAACACACAGAGGGATTCACTTTTTATAACCTTCTGGGGTCTTTCATACTGTTGTAGAAGACCAAAGAAATACCAAGCACTCTTCCTAGAGAAAGGGAAGGACCCCATTTATTAACACTAGTGGACTCCAGGAATAATTTCTTAAACAGAGTGAAGAAACACACAGAGGGATTCACTTTTTATAACCTTCTGGGGTCTTTGTCTTGCAGATATGGTTCCGCCCCCTTTTGTGGGCTGACAGGAAGGCCCCCAGGTGTTGAGGTCCCCAGGCCATATCTGATGTTCTGCCTGGGGCCAACGATAATGACCTCCCCCCCGCCCCCCAGGGCAGTGCATTGTTCACAGTTTTTAAGGCCTGACACACCTTGCAAGACCAGCTTCCTCCTTACCCCCCCCCCCCCCTTTTCCCC